CTTCATAACTGTAACAGTTTCCTCAGCTGAATGCATGTTCATTGCATTGACTTCTACTTCATCGTGTAACAAGTTGATCAAGGCTTTACAAAACGGAGTGATTAAGACAGGAACCTTCAACTTCAAGTTTTAATTAAATCAGCAGCTATTTTCCCCCAATCCCCAGGTTTCTTCTTCACTGCCACTACTAACTTCTTTCCCCAATCTTCCTTGTCATCTCCATAGGCTATTTTACCAACACCCAAGGCCACAGCCATTTCCTAGACCAAATTGCAAGTTTATCCTGAAATGTGATGGTAGTTGCAGAGCTATTCCTGACCATCAGGAACAGGGTAGGTGGCATTATCTTTAATTCTTTTGGTATTGTTTTGTGGGCTTACAGTGGACTCATTGATGCTGTTGATGCTAGTGAAGCTGAAGTCAGAGCTCACTCGATGGGGTTAAAGGTGGCTAAGACCATCCAAACAACCCCTATTGTTGTGGAGAATGACTCTAGAAAAATAACTGGGTGGGCCTCAAACCAGGTGGGACCTTGGAGATTAGCACATCTGCTTAATGAAATCCAAGATCTTTCAGCTTGCCTTTCTTGCTACTTCAAATGGGTTCCAAGGGAGTTGCATGTTATGGCTGATTCTTTAGCTGAAGCAGGGGTGGATAGGGCTTTCTGTTTTTGCATCCTCTTGGCTCTTTTGAACATCCTCTCACGTATACCCCCCCCCTTCTTAATGAAATTTATCTTTTCTCAAAAAGGATAAGCATTAAGCCATGGAAACTGGCCTATCTGAATGAGGTTAGAGAAAGTGAGAAACGTTGTGCATGTACCAATCCAAATTAGATGCCTTACTAGGAACTTGAACTCTTTTGCCAATGGCTTAGCAAAGATCTGTTGTGTGGAAAAAGACTGACTAGAAGTGTGAAGGATTTTTCAGAGTTCATTGCTAGGCATAATCTCTGAGATCTTCCTCTCCAAAATGGGAAATTCACATGGTCTAACTTGCAAGAAAGAGCCATTTGCAGCAGATTAGACAGATTTCTGATAACCAATGAATGGGAAGAACATATCCCAGACATAATTCAGGCTATAAACTCTCGATGCACTTCAAATCATTGGCTGGTCGTATTGCAAAATGAGGTTTTGAAAAGAGGGAAAACCCCTTTCGGAATGGAGGTGTGGATTTATCACAAGGACTTTATTCAAAAAGTGACTTCTTGGTGAGAGGAATGCAGGGTGGAAGGTTGGGCTGGATTTCACTTCTTGCAGAAATTGAAATATCTGAAGAGGAAATTGAAAATTTGGGGAAGAGAGGAATTTAAAAAGATGACAGGAGATAAAAACAAGTTAATTATGGCTTTCAATGATCTAGACTTAAAGGAGCAGAATGGGACTCTTGACATTGAAGATTTCAGGAGAAGAGAGGCACTGAAGATTGATTGGGAAAAGATAATCAAGAGAGAAGAAATTTTCTGGAGACAAAGATCCAGAATTAAATGGTTGAAGGGGACAACAACTCAAAATTTTTCCACAGCTATGCCTCAGAGAGACGCAGGAAAAATCACATCTCCAATTGAAAGGATGGACAGAGAGATGTTGAGGATCAAGAGGAGATTGCAGAGAACTTTTTGAAGCACTTTAAAGAAGTTTTTTCTAAGGTTTCTCCAAGAAATCACTTCTTGAATTCTTTGAATGGCCACACCCTATCAGAGGAGAAGAAAACCTAGTTAGAGAAGAATTTCGAGGAACAGGAGATAAAGGCGGATATTGACAGTACAGATGGGGATCGTGCTCCTGGGCTGGATGGCTTCCCCATGTTTTTCTTTCAAACTACCTGGGACATAATCAAACTGGACTTAATGGAGGTGTTTAACAATTTCCACCATTCAGCTATCATAAACAAGGGAAACAACTCAGCTTTTACAGCCTTAATTCCAAAAAAAAAGAAGGCATCTTGGAAGTAAAAGAGTTCTGTCCCAGAAGTTTGGTTTGAAGCATATACAAAATTGTGGCCAAGGTTTTGGCAAATAGGTTGAAAGAAGTCCTGGGGGATCTAATTTCCAAAAATCAATTTGCATTTGTGAAGGGGAGACAAATAATAGACAGAATTCTAGTGGCCAATGAATGCTTACAAGAAAGAAGACAAAAAATATATCCCAGGAGTTGTAGTGAAAATCGACTTAGAAAAAAGCATACGACTAAGTCGATTGGAATTGCCTCCTAGAGATTCTGCAGTTAAAAGGCTTTGGCTCTAGATGGGTACGGTGGATAAAGGTTGTATTTGTTCTGCCTGGTTTTCGGTATTGGTGAACAAAGAGCCTAAAGGCTATTTTAAGGTTAATCGGGGCCTTAGACAAGGATGTCCACTCTCTCCCCTTATTATTCACCCTGGTTGTTGGTGTATTAAGTTGTTTCTTCGAGAAGACAAAAAGTTTAAATTTGCTGAAAGGCTTTGAAGTGGGTAGAGAAGCAATTCAGGTATCCCATCTACTCTTTGTTGATGATATTCTCCTTTTCTTGGATGCTGATTTGGAGACAATAAAAAATCTGAAGCGGATTCTAACATGCTTTGAAATGGTGTCAGGACTTAAAGTGAATTTCTCAAAAAGTAGTTTAGTGGGAATAAACATAAGTGAGTCTTTGTTGGAAAACTTCAAGGAAGCTCTAGGGTGCAAAGTTGAAAATTGGCCCATTCGCTATTTGGGGATGCCCTTGGGTGGGAACCCTAGAAGTGAAAACTTCTGGGATCCGGTGATAGAAAAGTGTGAAAAAAGGCTGGCCACATGGAAGAAGAATTACCTATCAAAGGGTGGTAGGTTGACTTTAATCAAGGCTTCTTTGGCTAATCTGCCCATCTATTATCTTTCAGTGTTCTTAGTCCCAGCAAAAATTAGAAACAAAACTGAAAAACTTCAACGTGATTTTTTGTGGGAAGGAGGTGGTGATCAAAAGAATCATCTAGTTGGTTGGGATCAGGTTTGCAAACTCAAGGAAACTGGGAACCTTGGCATTGGACACATCAAGGAGAGGAATCAAGTCCTTTTAGGGAAGTGGTTATGGAGGTTCCCAGTCGAGATAGATGCTATGTGGACTTCCATCATCAGCAATAAGTACAGAAGACACGCCAATGGTTGGGATAGCAAAGTGCAGCTGAACCAGGTAAAAGCTTCAAACCCTTGGAAAGGTATCTCTTCAACCTACTCTTTCTTTTCTTTCATCAGATACAAAGTGGAAAATGGGCTGAAAATCAAATTTTGGAGTGACCTTTGGTGGGGGGGCAAATACCTTGGCAAACACTTTTCCCCGCCTGTTCAACCTATCTTTGTCCAAAGATGCCACTGTCAACTCCTGTATCCAACCCTCACCCTCTGGGTTTAATTGGAACCTAAACTTCAGAAGATCTTTAAGAAACATAGAGATTGACGAGACAGAAAACCTTTTAAATTCTCCAAGTGAGGTCTACATCTCCTCACTAAATCCAGACAAACACATTTGGAAACTTCAATCTGATGGCAAATTCTCAACTAAGTCCTTTTTTAGAGCCTTGGTTTCGGATTCCTCCATTTCTAGTTTTCCCCACAAGAGGGTCTGGTGCTCCAACATTCCCCCAAGAGTATCTTTCTTTGTTTGGGAGACCTGTCTTCACAAAATCAGCACTTGTGACTTGGTTCAAAAGAAGAACAAAGGAAGATTGTTTATCTCCCCCCATGCTTGTCCTTTATGTCTGAAAGAAGGTGAGTCAACTGATCACCTCTTTCTACACTGCCCAGAAACAAGAAAAATCTGGTTCTATTTTCTTAATCTTGCAGGCTACAGCTGGGCATTTCCTAAAAGCCTAATGGATTTTCTATGCCAATGGAGGGGCAGTGGTCTTGGAAGCAGGGGGGAAATTTACTGGTGTATACAATTGCCCAAGCAGTGTTATGGTGTATTTGGGAAGAAAGAAGCAACCGCCTCTTTGAAAACAAAACCAGATCTATTGAAGATTTACTCTCTCACATTACTTTTCAGGGCAATCTTTGGGTCTCCATTTCAGCAGAATTCAAAGGCTTATCTCTGAATGGTTTACAAAGAAATCTGGGGGAAATCCTCTTCTCTTCACCAAGACATTCTAACAGGGCAAACACTATTCCTGCAAGACTGTTATCAGAGCTAACTCTAAACTTTGATGGCAGTGCTTTGGGAAACCCTGGAGTTGCTGGAATGGGTGGAGTTTTTAGAGGATGTGAGGAGAACGTCATGTGAGCATATAGTGGCCCAATCGGGGTGGCTGATTCTTCAAAAGCAGAAACCATGGCTGCACTCACAGGTCTTCGAATTGCTAAAGAGAAGGGCTGGTCTGCTCTAACCATTAAAGGAGACTCAGCAAATACAATAAGATGGTTAGGGGAGAAAGAAGGAGGCCCTTGGAGACTAGATCATTACTTGGCTGAAGCCAGAGATATTCTGAACACTACAACTGTAAACTTAATCTGGATTCCCAGAGAATTAAATACTATAGCTGATGGTTTAGCTAAATCGGGTACCCTTAGGGAAGTCATGTACGGTGAAAGAAAACTGCCCCTGTAATTTCCTCTTGTTGGTTCAGCTGTAGTGTGTACATTTCCTCATGTACTTGTCTTCTTTTCTAATATAATCAGTTAACTTTTTCTCAAAAAGGGCTTTCTGTATAGCAAGTTAGCAACAGTGCTGTGACTTGAATTTTTGTATGAGAATACTCTTATCTTACACCCTCCAACATACACAGCTTTTTCATTAATACTTTCAGAGAGTGACAAAGATAATCAGATTAAATTTTCATTCAAAAGTAGGAATAAAATCAGAAAGTAAAATATTCCTTTTAATAGAAGCAAAGATACCTCTTCAAATGCATGTAACATTCAAAAAAACAACATCATTACTAGTTCACAAATGGAAATACCAAAATCATCTATGAACTGAAACAAATGACTTTATACATTATTACTAAAGGTCAGCAACAGAGCAAGAATAGGAAAAGTAAGAATACCTTGGAGTACCCAAAATCACATATCTTCAAGCGAGGTGCTGGACTTCCATCCAACAGCGTGTTTTCCAACTTCAAGTCTCGGTGGCATACTTGCTTCATAAAGAAGCAAAAAATAGGAGCAAAAGTTAGAAACTCATTCACATTCCCCAGGTAGAACAACAATGGAATATACAAAATTTATTTTAACTACCATTGAGTGACAATAGCTGACTCCCGAAATAAGTTGCTGGAAAAAGAAGCGAGCCTGCAGAAGGAAGAAAGAGAGTACAGAAATGTCAAATAAGCCAGAAAACACTACATGATAAAATATTCAATGGATTGGATTAAAAACCTCATCCTCGCTGAAACGGCCAGCATTGCATATGCGCTCAAACAGCTCTCCACCAGATGCATATTCCATCACAATAGCCAGATGGGTCGGTGTTAAAATGACCTAAAATAGGATACAAGCCGATGAATACCCACTTAGGCCATCATTCTCTCTCAAACAGATACTATTTTTTTTTGATAAATTCTCAAACAGATTACAAGATTAATACTGAACAGACCTCTTTGAACCTAACAATGTTAGGATGCCTAAGTGACCTGTGGTTAATGATCTCCCTTTGCACATTTTCATCTATCTGTTACACAGAGAAGCAAAATAAGAAAGCCATATATGCAGAAAATACTTCAACTTGCAATAAGATTTTGGGTTATTTCAGTTATAAAATTACAATTCCTTCACCTACTCACCCCCCAAAAAAGAAGTACTGCAAAAAGATACATGGAAAATGAACTCAACCATGCATTAAGACCATAGCGATATAATTATAAAGTTTGTTCTGATATAGAGATTGCTAACCAGACATTTCTACCACTTTAGTATTTAAAGTTAGCTTCTACATTTGCCATGGCACATTAACTGATTTGATAACAGAATCTAATATATTATACTAGCAATACCAGCTTGCTTGGCAATACATGTGAGCGTTCAGTGTTGGGCCTGCTAGTATTGCAGACCTGTTCGGGAACCCTCTTTTACCCACTAAACCAACTAAACCATTTAAGTGGTTGCATATTCAGATTAAGGAGGAAAACAATTAGTAAAAAGTAAAGCATTTCCCCCTATTATGTTCACATACATTACAGAACACAACTTTAGGAAACAAGTTAAGAGTAGAAGCAACTCAATAAGAGTTTACATAACCGATTAAATATATAAAAGCCTACTCCTATTTAGAGACTATTTATAAACAAAAGGACGTCGCAAGAACGGCAAAAACACTTGGACTATCAACTGATTTTGCAACCATTTTTTCGAACTATATAAAACTTCGTAGTTTACACCGACAATCACGGAAAATTAATCATAAGCGAGAAAACAAAAACGAATATCAAAAAACACATTAGACTTTAAACTGCAACAGTTGACACTGCAGAAATCCGGTTTGACTCATCCAATTCTGGACAAGTGTCACAACCTTCCGCATAATCTACATCCTTGTCTCAAGTCTCAACCAATAATTAAAGAAGCAAACCAGCTAGTATCCACAAACAGACAAAATATATGCTCAATAATGAAAAAAGAATCAAATTGAAGAAGCGAAAACTGGTTTTTCAGAAATTCAACTAACCTTTTCGCCTCGCTCAATATACTTTACGGCGACAAGTTCTCTGGTCTGCTTATCCCTCATTAACCTCGCGACGCCAAAATTCCCCGAACCAATATCTCTGACGAGTTCGTACCGATCACTATCGTGCATTATAGGCATGTCCATGCCGGGACCAACGGTGATCTGCGAACGATCCATCTTCACTCTCAGTTCTCCTCCGGTGAAACTTCGCTCACATTGTCGAACTAAAAGAAACAGCTAGGAAACCCTAACCACGATGGAAACAGTGCTTTGAAACGTGGCAAGGGATCGATCATCCGATGCACTCGATCGATCGAGAACCTGTTGGTTGAAGAAAGAGACTGATGAAGAGGTCAAGCCCGTGAAGCTCACTTACCTTCAACAACTTCGCCGGTTTGCTTTTTTCCCCTTTTTTTTTCTTTTTAGGTTTCGAACTGAAAAAACAGATGAGTTGCAGAGACGGTGAGAACTCGTGAACTGCTTTTACTTATCAATTATCAAAAACCCCGCCAGAGAAGGGAGGAAAGGGAGAGTGCAGATATTTTTCTGATCGGCGATCGATAAGGATTAATATCTGTGAACGGGAAGAAAATAAATCAAAACGAAAAAAAAATGACCTGCATAATTACAGAAACATCCCCCGTTTGCGTTGAAAACTACCAAGGTCTCCCCCTGCATTATACCGTAGCCCAAAAAACTCTCTTATCAAAATGACCCAACTACCCCGCACTTTGCATAAGGTTCACAAGCCACACGAGACCTTTTCCTCGTTCGTAGAGTGATTCAGATAGGACGTGCTCAACTAGGGCAGGTCTACGTCTACCAACCGCCTGATTGGAATTCAGTGGATCCACTGCAACAAAGAGTGGCCATGGATTCTAATCTGACTGTTGACAGCTCGTGCTTACGGATCCACGTAAGCAATGGAAAAGAAAAAATGTTCACAGTCGGAATTTAAGTTGATTCGCAACCTTGATCTGTCTGTAAAAGAGTCAAAATGAAAATATATAGAAAAAAAAATTATAAAAATTTATAAAAAAAAACATAATAAGAGAGACGACCGTGGGGGTGTGGACAAAGATGCCCGAATAAGAAATGCAAATGATGTCCTTCTCTCTCTTTTTTTGAGAATATGGGTCTAGCATCAAAATCGGAATGGACTACTTGGGTTCCAACTAATTGGTTGGGTGGAATCAAAATTCCATTCCCATTTTTATTGGAATGGCATTCTCTCATTTTAAGAAATTGTCATTCCCTTTTTCTCTTTTTAGAATGAAATCTTATTCCTTCTAATTCTAATTCCTATTCCCATTCTTGTTTTAACCAAACAGATTATGGGAATGGATCATTCCAATTTTATTTTTAGAGGATTTCATCGATTCCAACTATAAATCTGTTGGAGGGAGATTCAAAATTTTAATAATCTCTTTCCTCCCTCTTTTGTTTTTGTCATTTTCTCTTTCCACTCTTTAGTGCATGGGAAGACTCATTGTCCCACATTGTTTGGGAAAGGAATGGAAGTAGAGTATATTTATAGTTTTGCTCTCTCTCTATAAGGAGGGACCAATAGGAGGAGAGGACTATAAATATTCCATGCATGTTAGGGGGGCTTGGGGGTGCTTTTCACACACGCGTTCCGAGCCGAGCCTGCGTAGGCACATGTACGTGTACGTGCGTTACACCAAATCGTTTTTGCTTTTAATCGAATTAATCATTTAAATTTTAATTTTGAAATTATTTTTGAACAGTTTTCTTTTCTTGTTTGTGTCTCCTCTTTCATGTGTATCTTCGAACAAGCGCATTGTTCTGAAGAGGTCATTGTCTAAAATGACAACTTTGTGTCCATTTGGGTTTGAGACCAATCTATAGAAAGGGTGTTAGTCGACCCAGTTTTCACACAACACGTTGTTTTTCAACAATCTTATTCTTTGTCTTATTTGAAAAATTGTAAGCATAATTCTTTTGTAGTTCGTGGAGGTCTGGTAAGCGAGTGTACGCCTATTAGAGACCTGTGGGCCGTTTTATCTTGGCGACCGATTTGCGATCACCCGACTACACCGTATGGGGCAAATGCGATTTTAAGGAGACTGACCAAGTGACACGACTCATCCCTCCATCTCTCAGTTTCGCAATTTTGCAATAGCACACTCCTGCAAGTTCTAGTTTGGAAAGCGATTACCAATAAGTTTCATCTGCCTTTTTTATTATTTTATAGCAATCTTAAAACTGCATTTATGGAACCTATCTCTGGTAACCCCTTCATGAGGAACCAGATATTGTCAACAGTTCCCGATTTCTCTAAAATTGAACCTTTCAATGGAACCAACTACATGCATTGAAGATAGTGCCTACTTTTTGCCTTATAGTAGTTAGAGGTAGCATTTGCATTGACTGAACCGAACCCATCAAACATGGAGGAACCAGCCCGTTCTGTTGTTACTGAACTTTGGACTATAGCTGATCACCTCTGCACCAACCATATCCTAACTGCTTGTCAAATGAATTGTATAATGTCTATTTTTCCTACAATTATGCCTATGAAATTTGGAATGCTTTGGATAATAAGTATGCTCTAGAAAGTGTAGAAATAAGAAATATATAATTGCCAACTTTCTGCACTTCACCATGAAATAAGACATAGACGTGTCTACCCAAATAGATGAGTTCCAGGTTCTTATGGGGGAACTAGCAAAAGAAGGCATGATACTGCCAGATGAATTCGTTGCTGGTTCTCTCATAGAGAAACTGCCACATACATGAAATGATTTCAATACTAGTATGAAACATAAGAGGAATGACTTTGCATGTGCTAGAGATCCGACGAAAGTTTGTATTAGGAGCACTCCTCAACAATGTAGGATTGAAGCTCACATTTGAAGCAGACAAGGCCGTGTTAACTAAAAATAATGTTTTTATTGGAAAATGATACAATGTTGGAAGATTGTTTGTACTGAATATTTATGATATTGTTATGAACAAAAATGCTTATTGTTCTGCTTATATTTATTGAATCTTTTGATATTTGGCATGCTAGACTAGAACATCATAGTGCTCATTATTTAAAACGATTATGTAAATTAGGGGTTTTGACTGTTCTTATTAACTTTACAAATCAAAAATGCCAAGTATGTGTAGAAGCAAAATTCATTAAGAAACCACATAAAAGTATACAAAGAAAAACTGAATTATCACAACTTATACACTATGATCTACGAGACATTAAATGTCATAAAGTTAGAGGAGGAAAAATATACTATATAACATTTACAGATGACTTCTCTAGATATGCAAAAGTAGTTATACTTAAATTAAAAGATGAAGCCGATCAAACTTTTATAAATTACAAAATTGAAGTAGAAAATCAGTTATGAAGGAAAATAAAAAGACTTATAACAGATAGAGAGACTGAATATGATGGACAAACCATTAGAAAATTCTTTGAAGAAAACAGAATCATACATGAAGCCACAGCTCCCTATCAACTTGAATCTAATGGAGTTGCAGAAATACTTAACAGAACACTAAAAGAAATGATGAATGCAGTGCTGATTAGTTCATGTGCACCTCTGAATTTGTGGGGAAAAACAATCCTAACGGCTTGCCACTTATATAATAGAATACCACCCAAGAATAAATGACAAATACCTTTTGAACTTTGGCATAATAGAAAACCTAACTTAAACTATCTAAAGGTTTGGGGCTGCCTACCAAAGGTTGGAATACCTGAACCTAAAACAATAAATTATGACAAAAAACCTGTGACTGTGTGTTCATTGGATATACACAAAATAGTGCAGCTTATCAGTTTCTTGTGATTAAAACAACTAGTAATGTTGTAGAAAACAACACAATAATAGAGTATCGAGATGCAGAGTTCTTTGAACACATATTTCCTTGGAGAAAATAAACAATAAATAGGGAATTGTCCCCAATCCAAAACAGAAAACAATAACAATTAAATACTCAATGAATCAGTACTTTTCTTAGTCAAGACAACCCCAACTCTATGAATCAAGAATCAGACCTAAGGAGAAGTAAAAGACAAATGAAATATGTAGTATTTCGCAAAAGGGGAACTGGTTAAAACACCTCTTGATTGTAGTATTCACTTAAGGAAACATGTAGGAGAACATATTTCACAAAAGGAGTATGCAAGTATAATTGGATCCGTGTCTTATTTAATGAAATGTACAAGGCTAGACATAGTTATGGTTGTGGGAAAATTAAGTCAACATACATATAATCCTGAAAATGAACATTGGGAAGCTCTAGTAAAATTATTAAAATATTTAAAAGCAACTATAAATTTTGGTTTATACTATTCAGGTTTTCCTCCTGTTTTAAAAGACTTTACTAATGCAAATCGGATTTCAGATTCAAAGGATAGTACTTCAACCAGTGGATATGTGTTTACTCTAGGTAGAGGAGCAACATTGTGGAAATCGGTAAAGCAATCATACAATACAAGCTCAACAATGGATGCCAAGTTTATTGCACTAGAATTGGCAGGGTCCAAGGCAAAGTGGCTAAGGAACTTACTAACAGATATACCACTTTGGCCACGCCCAGTTCCGTCCATATATCTTCATTGTGATAGTTAAGCGGTAATATCCAGAGCCAACAACCAGGCGTACAATAGTAAAAGAAGGCATATCTACTTAAGGCATAACCTAGTAAGACAATACCTCAGCGAAGGTACAATTGCTCTGGACTTTGTAAGGTTTGAAAACAACCTTGCAAATTCGCTAACCAAACCACAGGCTTCTAAGGTGGTTTATGAGGCATTGGTAGGAATAGGGTTGAAGCCCGTTACATAAGTCGTTAATGATAGACACCCAACCTATGTGAAAAGAGATCCCTGTAATTATATTAAATAGGTAAAAACGAGTTGTTAGATAACTTGAGAAAGCACTATCATTTGTGTCCCATTTCAGATGCCGAGATAACATAGTGCTCACTGTAGTTCGAGGAGGTTGAGCATGATGCTCTTAATCAGTTAAGAATTTATTGACCAATCCAAATCTGACCTAGGCCCAAGACCAACCTAAGTGCATCAAATTACAATGTGGTCTGGACTTTAATTGAAAATATCGGACTTAGCTTCAGGCTTAGTTTGAACTCAGGTCTTAGGCCCCAATCTTATTGTTGGCCCTGGGTTGACCATAAACCCACTTCACCCCACTCACATCTCTAGCTAAATGAGGCCGTTTTTTATATACTTGTAGAAATTCAAGGGGTATCTACAACTTTTGATAGTCGTTTAGGTAGTAAAGCGGTGTGCCCCCCTAGAAGTAAATTTAAAATATCACATAAATGATATCACTTTGGTTGTTTGGGAAAAATAGCCAGGGCTGTTTTGGGAACCTCTACACATGACACCTTAGCTAATTCAAGTCCTCATTTGTCTTTTCAACTAAAAAAGTATTGATTGTAAATACTATTTTATCCACACACATTATGATATGCCATTCATAGCATGCTCCCAAAATAGCCCAGCTGTCTTTTACAAACAACAAAAGTTTTCCCACATAAAATGATTGTTATTTCAACCGATGGTGTGCCATTGGAGTGTTG